GAGCTCATGATCCCATCGAATGAAAAACAGAAAAACAGCCCCAGACTTTAACGTTTGCTCCTCTGTGTTTTCCAGAACTCTTAGTTCAGTCTGCTTGGAACTCTTCTCCAGACTTTCTCCACTCAGAGAGTCTACAATAAACATATGAAGTCACCTAAAGAACCTCTTTAAAGTTTACTAATGGCTAAATTATCTAAATGCTTTTTAGGGACCTCTGTAAATAAAAATAATGATAATACATTCATAACAGTTTCATAATGAGAAAAATTTAATATTTAATTTCTTACATTGAAGATTTTTTCACTTGTCGAGGTGTATATTTTTTGCAGTGTGCACAAAAGCACCCACACAAAGGCACACAACAGAGACCGACATGAGCACATGGTCAAAAAGCACAAATGAATGTGTCCAGTCTGCCACATACATACTTATGTAATAATTCCATCTATATTTCTGTGTTGAGAGGGAGTCTGGATGTTTGTGTGTGAGTGTGTGTGTGTGTGTGTGTGTGTGTCTGTCTGTCTGTCTGTCTGTCTGTCCGTCCTTGTCTATATGTGAACTGTGCTGTTCAAAAATCTGTGAAATACCACATCAAACAAATCAGACATTTCTAAAAGACGTTGGTCAAACGAGAAGATGACCAGTACTCTCCTGAAAGGGACATGGCCAGTATTTATGGATGGAAACCCATGTGTTATTTGTTCATTGTACTATTGTCATTGCGTCTGATAAGAACAGTAAAAGGTGATAAAAGGTGAACGTATTTTGAACCGTTTTTGATCCTCGCTTGTCCTTACGTTGGTTTTGCTGTTTCTCTGTACAGAGTGTGAGTGTGAATATGAATGAAAGTGAGAGAGAGAGAAAGAGAGAGAGAAATAAATCAATTAGATCTTCCACTACAGCATGTGCATGTTGTTTCTGGGGCTTGTGGGAGCTGATATTATTGGCAGGGGTGAGACAGCTCATCATAACGCCATGCTCCGTAATGACAGAGGCGTCAAAACAGCCCTGAAGCCTGAGGCCTGTCTAATTCACCTCCCCAACTCTATCACTCACCCTCCTATCCCCAACCTGCTCAACTTAAAGGGGAATACCACTGATTTTCAAAATTTCTGCATAATTCAATCATCATCAAATTAACAAAGTCATTCAAAGTGGTTTGATGTGGTTTAATGTTCTAGAGAAACTTAGTGAGTCAGAATTGTGGTAGTGATAGGAACCAGATGTCTAAAGTGCTCAATACCTCTAAAATCTACCTAACAAAGCTAATACATGAAATTGTTAAGGATTCGCTACCTGAAGCCTATTATTTTGAGATAGTTTTCAGAGATGATTTTGGCCTAAAACATATTTCTAAAATCCATTGATGGCAGAAAGATAAATGCAGGGTGTTGTAGGACAAAATAGTTGTAAGGCAAAATATCATTTAGATAGTAAATAAAATGTCTAGTCTGCAGCCCCTGGTTCATTTCACTACCACTGTAAAGAAATCAGTAAGTTTCTCCGTGCTGAGCCATTTCACATCAAACCACTCTACATGTCTTTGTTTGCATCTCAATCATTGAATTATGCAGAAATTCCCCTTCCACATGAGCTACATACTTAATTTGCTTTTTAATATATGTGGGAGGCAGAGTAGACATTCACAGCGGACATACAAGGAAAGCGAAGGCTTATTTTTATTGATTTTTAATTAACAACCAAAAAAACAGGGGTTGTTAATAATAAAATATTAATCAGAAAATACTGACAATTCCAGCTAAACAATAGCGATAGTGTAGCAAATGATCAATGTTTTTCACATCTCTTCTGTTGTCAGATAAGCTAATAAGGTACTTCAGGTGCTACTCAGTAAATACATAGTCTTAATAAAGACTATATGAAGGCTTAGAGTTTGAATATTTTGATTTATGAATGTGAAATTTAGCTAGCAATTAATTTATTAAATAATAGTGCTGTTCCCTGGTTTTGTCATAATCAAGGAACCAAAGCACTAAACTCTTCCACAATAAGGAGAAATCTTCTCACAACCAATCAGTAATAAATCTAGATATGTCTTGCCACAGTCTTCCAGACTATGGACAGTACCAGAAGAGACAGAGAACCATTTTAGATTGGTTATCACAAAAACAGCAATTAGTAACAATATCTGATTAAAATATAGACATTTTGCAGTGTAAATTTTATGAAGAAGGAAAGCGATTACTTGTTACTCCAGCACCTCTGCCACTCTGCAGCATGGTCTCCAAGGTCAAATGCCAGAACTGCTCGCTGCTGCTTGGGAGTTGGACGTCTGGCACAATATTCTTATATGATATATATATATATATATATATATATATATATATATATATAAATCATTATTTTGAGATAGTTTTTAGAGATTATTTTGGCCTAAAACATATTTCTAAAATCCATTGATGGCAGAAAGATAAATGCAGGGTGTTGTAAGGCAACACATATATATATGTGTGTGTGTGTGTATTTAATATAAGTATATTACAGTGATTTCACACGGTTAAGGACTGTTATTAGGCATGATGCAAAGCCAACCTCGGCCAAATCACAGGTTTATTGCTTTTAGAAAACTGCAACAAAGCAATACGATGTAGTTTATGAATGTTTTGATTTTTTGCAAAGAATTTTATTAATTATTAACATGCGTAATAAATTGTTCTTCTGCCAAGTAACATCATTTGTAAACAGTAGGCTACGGTTGCTAGGCAACACAATGATCTTCTGTATCCTTTCTGGCAGTCAAAACAATGACTTGTTTCTTGGAACTATGACTTATGTCAAAATAATGCCTCATTTTATTAAATTTTGGTAAAATTGTTTAAAAAAAAGAAGTAACTGTTATTAATGGTAAATTGAAATTTGGAAAACATAAGTTGTTATTTTGAGATAAATATAATGTAAAAAGATAATGTCAAATAAAATGTAAATAATGTCAAATAAAATGTAAAATGAGATTTTGAGATAATGAGTTGCAGTTTCAACATCAAAATGTTGATATACTGCTGCCAGAAACAAAGATGAAGAAAAAAAAAAATCTCTCCCTGGCAGAAAAGGGTGTGCACATATTGAGTATTTTCCTACTTCAAACGTGGCTCAGCCAATGACATTTTAGAACTGAGACTATCCTTTTTACTTTATGGATGTTTTTTTCAGATACATACACCGGCAACTTTACAAAATAGAGAAAAGAAATAAAGTAAAAAGCACTGTGCAGTTCTAACTGTAAAATTCTTTGATAAGTTCTAAATTCACCTTTCAAAGAGTTTGAAACATAATTAATACGGCAAAGATACGCTGTAAATTGACAGGAGTCTTGTGATGCCCTCTAGTGGCCAGGAAAACTACTGCAGACGCACTGCAGCACTGAAGCTGCAGACTTACTGAGGTCTGAACCCTTTGCTGTTCCTGTTCCTCCAGGCTGGCATTTCCTCTTTTAATGTTTCTTTGAATGGACACTACCGGCTAAAAGTGTGGACACAAGTGGGGTTTGTTCTTCAAAAATGAATTCATTCATTTTCCAACAACTAGCTAAGTTCTGACTATGCCTTTTTTAGAGTCTCTCTCTCTCTCTCTCTCTCTCTCTCTCTCTCTCTCTCTGATACACACATTTTATCAGAGATCTACTGCCCGGAGGGAACAGGCCCCATTTTAAGGTCACTGCAGACTTAGCCAAGAATGAAATGAAATACCTGCACCATATAAAGAGAGATAAAGGCCAAATAAAAAAACAATTCTGTCGCTTTGTCCCCAAGGAGCGATGCTGGCACAGTTCCAGCAGGGTTCGGACACAGAGAAGATGGACTCGGTTGCAGCAGTAATGGAGCTGCATGCTGGGATATGGGAATGAATACGGCACTTGACCTTAACTAAGATTGGTTCACTTGCACACTCACTGCTGGTGAGGGAGGGAATCATTGAAGGGCCCCACGATACGATACTATCCCTATCACTACCTGAGCTGCTACACGATTCTATTGATTCTACTGTGTTTTTAAAGATCTATGATATGCTGAGTATTGCAGTGTGACATATTGTAGTACATTGCAAGAACCATCATCTTTAAGAGTGTACCAAGCAGGACTGTGTTGCTGCAGATAATCGAAACTAGACAGGCTGGAAGCAATATTGAATTTGCTACCATGCTAATGTAATCTTCATTACAAGACAAAAACTATTCTAACAGGTGACGTTTCACAAACTAAAATAATCATCATAAATTAATAATGCACTAAAATGTATGTATTATGTGCCCTGTGGTAACCAGAATGTTCTAAGCTTGATATGTTTTGCCGTATGGTCATTTTACCCCCAAATCTGGAGAAATGTTACCGTAAAGGCTGAAGCCTCCGAATTATGAAGCTATTAAGCAGCTGAAATACAAACATTACAATACCCAAGCCAACACTGCTGCACTTTGAATTGACATCATACAGTAACTTCACCAAAACACCCTAATGCCTGAATCAGACATGCCTACCTTTGCGTGGCGTGAGCGATGCCGCAGCGTGAGTACTACAGGTTGCATGCACTGGCCTTTCATACTCATTCTTAATAAAAACGTAATTTATAAAAGAGAGTGGCCTGTGTGACTACTACAGATCGATGCACCACTTCAGAGATCTATTGAGTGCTAATAGCTCCCCCTTGTGGAGATTCGTCAGCCTGCTAAACGCCAGAGGGTACGTGTGGGAGTCGCAAGCTAAGTTCACAAGACACGTTGCAGCTAATTAAAAGCTTTCCCTCCAACATTTGCATATTTAGCAAATGCTTTGTCCAAAGTGATATGCAGGTGTAGGTGAATGTAGTGTGAGGAGTCTTGTTCATGGACTGATATAAGCAACGGTATTTCTGATTCCTGTCTGCTGGACAGTCCATGATAAAACAACTTCTCAGCTCCATCTTGTGGACTAAATGCTGTGAATGCTGTTATCCTCACCTATTGCATGAGAAACACTCTATAAAAACAAATAAAGAAGCATAAGAGAAGTGAAACACAACTTTATTACTCAACAAAATGCCCCAAGATGTAAAACATAAAAGAAGTGAGTCAGATTGACCTCAGGATTTCTCACTTTTGCAGTAAGTAGGCACAAACACCTGATCTGCTGGAGTTGCTCCTTTATGTTTAAATCAAGCTAATCAGACTAAAAAGTAAAAAAAAGAGAGCACGTTCATTTATAATGAGTGATGATTTACAGCATGTCAGAATAAACAAACAAGTAGAAACAAAGTGTGCAGTTTTTTTTTGTCTTGTCGCTGTTCATTTTGCGGCAAAGTTTTTCACGTGCGTGCTTGTGTCAAACACAGATGTGCACAGATCAGAAGGTAAATTGTGTTGTACTTGCTGCATTTTTAAACAGAGCTGTCATCTTCAAATCGCTAAAACAGTGTTTCAGTTAATTGAATTGTGTTTTCTATTTGCTGAAATAGCACAGTCAGTGGTTTTGGATGGCAAATGAGATTACAGAGATGGGCAGTTCATTTCCTGAAGGGAAAAATGTTTGCTGCAAAGTTTCAGCCAGTTACAACATGCTCACTACGCTGAACTAAGTGTGTTTGAGCAGGGAGAGTAATGTCCAGTGCTGCACACTTCCATGACCTGTCCATCTCTGGATTCATCAGTAACATTTACATAAATTTACATTCTGCATCAGCAGGTTCGAGTCTGCACTTCTGAACTTTGGACTGAAAGTATCTGCACATTCAGCAAAATGCTTTTGCTTGTTTATATGAGCTAAGAGTGAGAACTAATGTTGAATTACACGCTTTTGTTATCGCCAGCGATAACTGTGACTTCTAGGAGTTATATGTATATGATAAAGTGACCAGTCATATGATTTGTATGTCAGTAACACAGATTCCCTTTCATAGATTCAGTTGCTCATATATTTACACACACAAGTATGTGCATTTGTAATTCAGTGCTGAAGTGAAACTGGTGTTTTCTTACAGGCGTATGTAAAAGTTTGAACAACTCCAATCAGATTACATGTTATGTTGATGTTCAAAGCATGACATTTTATGAGTTACATCTTCTACAGAGAACAAACATCTGCACATTTTAATGCACAACAACTGTTCAATTGCTGAACTTAATACAGTGGATTTTTAGTCAGCATATTGAACTCAGGAAAAAAAAAAAACAATAACTGCACTAAAATTTGCTGAAAATTTTGTAGTTAAATGTATTCTCTGTAGAGGATGTGTTAACTTATTTTTACTTAGAAAATCAAAAGTACATGTAATCTGATCAGGAGTGCATACGAGTGCATACAATACTAAATGATACAATCTAAATGTCCCATTCTTCATATTCTCAGATTTTCCCCCATAATAATTCAATAATAAGAAAAAGTTGAACAATGTTTTCAGTGAGTTATGGTTAACAAGCATGAATGGAAAAGCTCTCAGAAATCCATTAAATTCTACACAGAGTCAAGCCTGGAAATATTTTTCTCCATCAGCCAACAGAAACTGCACAACAGAAACTGTAGACCATATGAAATACAGCAGACCAAGAATTAGAAATATCAGTATCTCTCACTATCAATCTATCTATACCTACAGCTTATTAGATCATCACTGTCAAGAGAAAACCTTGTATCGCTGAAACTGTAACTTTATAGGAAAAAGAACATCTAATGTAAGTTAATGTAACAAGATTTTTCGTCCAAGCATTTTTGGACCATGTCTATTGGTCCATTCATCACGAAACAATCAATAGTAAACGAAAAAAATATATGTTTTTACATGGTTAAAAAAATAAAATAAAAAAGTTACAAGGCTTTGATATGATGGTGATAATATGTTAATGCTAGTTGTCACTCAGTCATCAAGTAGTGATCAGTCATACATACATACATAATGCAGTCCACTTACTTTTGGCACCCCAAACCAAGATAAGACAAGACGGCAGCAGTCTGTCAATAATAATAATAATTCCTCCTCATCTCTATTCTTTGTGCTTTTTTCTCTCTCTTTCGTCTCATTGTTTCTATTACTCTTATTCTCTTCCTAAGCCATTAATTTCTCCATTACTCTTTAAAAGTTTCCTCCCCCGTTCTCTCTCTTTCTTTCCACGCTTCTATCTATTTATCTAGCTAGCTGTCTAGTGAGCCACTGCCCTTGTTCTTGTTGCGGCTGAGGGGAAAAGTGGACTTGCTCTGTGGTTGAGTCATTTTGCTGGCCAGGTAAACAAAGGGCTCGATGAGTGTACGTCTTTCGGTCACTGAAACTTCCCACAGCCGGACCTTCTCCTGACGTGCCCACTGCTGCGCAGCCTCGCTGTCCACTCTCCTGTGCTCCGCCAAGTCCAGCTTATTCCCCAGCACCACGATTGTCACCTGGAAAAAGAAAGTTAAAGTGGTGATTTGGCTAAAACTCAAATGAAAACAATTTTCTCCATATCCCAAATATAGTTAAACAGCCAAGACATGCTGTCTGTCCCTTTGCTTCTTTATTGAGCTGCTAAGTGATCTCAAATTGACTTGATTATGCAATTTCTGACACTGATATAGTGTAATCTATAAAAATGGACAAGAGCATGTGACACAGCTAAAACAGTCCTAGCAGCCATCTTGAAGTCTGAAATTTTGTCTGTGCTTCTTTTTCTTTTTTCTCTTGTTTATGATTTGGAAAAGGTGATTCATGTCATTATGTAATTCACTATAAAGGCCTCACTCAGCCTACCCTGGCATGCCTTCAGCTCGCTCAAAATGCTGTTGCAATGCTACTCTGTGATGTGAATGGTCAGGCTGCTCATTCCACATAACCATAGATCTGTGAGGTTCTCTGATCTGCTGCTTTTAACTGTTGCTTGGTTAAAGCTTTTACAGTTGCTGACTCAAGACTCTAGAACAGTCTACCTATTGACATACTGCAGGTGTGTTCTCTCCTCCTTTAAAGGTCTAAACTGAATTTAATTTATTGTAAAATTTTGTCATTTTTTTGTAATTTGGTGTATATTACATTTTGTAGGTTTAAAAGGTAGCCTTATTCTGAATACTGCCTTTACAAAATGTAACTCAGACTGAATAGAGTTACTTAATTTTTGTATTCTGAATATATATTCCCAATACTTGTTTTCAAAACTTACATCCCAGCCATGACTATATTTGCGCTAAGGAGAAAACTGTATATTTTTTAATCTTTTTAAGAATTTGCAACCTTGTTGGTATACAGTTACTGCATGAGTTTCTGAGTGTGTAAGCCCGTTTTGGTCTCGATGTGATTCCAAAACATAAAATGCTATCACAAAAGCATACTTCTTTTTTGTCGCGGCAGCGGTCAATCTCTTTCTTCAGCGCTTCCATGCGTTTGAAGGACTCCTTGCTGTCGATGCTGTAGACCAGCACAAAGCCGTCCGCGAAGCTGAAGTAGTGGCGTGGGAACTCCAAGCCTTCACGTAGGCCTCGTGTGTCATAAAAACGCACCTGCTCACGTGTGCCGCGGTCCGTCTCCACTGAGCCAATGTAAATGTCTTCCAACGTCTCCATGGGCTCAGAACCTTCCATCAAAACAAATTTGTGTTCTAGTGAAGCAGCGCTATATGCTATAATTACATATTACTGTCTAATTCACATGGTCGTTGTATTAACATATTAGTTACAAAGTTATTAGCACATAAAATTGGCACATGAAATCTAATGTTACTGAACATATAAGTCTAGCTGCTCACCAGCAACATGATTGGCATACAGTAACTGCTCGAGTATGGCAGTCTTCCCCACAGATGCCAGTCCACACACGACCACCTTACAGCTTTTGCCCATGGTCACCTTCAGACTGAAGTCTCATTTACTCTAAAGGAGAAGGAGAAATGAGACGTATGTGAGAGACCTTCTTGAGGAGATTAGGTTGAAGTTTTCCTAAAATAGGCAAAGTAAGTAAGCTTCTTGTTACTGTCCAAGAGGCGAGGAGCACTCCTCTTACTGGACGCTGCTTTGGCTTAAATTATCCAACTTAATGTCTTAAGATGTCAAAGTGTATTTACATTGTTACTACTGTTACAATAAAGCAGTTCTCTCTATCAGGGTCCCTGTATAGTGGAGCCCCTGTTCCCTTAGACATAGTCATATCAGAGAGCTGCTATTATCCCATTATGATAATGACAATAATAAAAAACATCTGCTGCTATCAGTGACTATCCAACGAGGCCGAAGTTGGCTTCCTATTCTCCAGCTTCCTGATAGAATTTTCCTGTTTCACCTTAAATGGTGCAGCACTTACATTCTGGCGTCTAATGCGCCACAGTGTAAATGCAGCACCATTTAAGGTGGAACGGGAAAGCTGACTTCAGCTGACTTCGTGACTATCCCAAAACCTGTCAGTGAATGAGAAACGTCTCTGTTTTGTCTCTGAAACACAATGGAGTGTAAATTAACATATTAAAATCCTCACAAAAATGCTCTGAGTCTTACAAACCTACGCAGCCACAGCCTAAACATGGGGCCAGCCAGTTTTTTAAGAAAACACAGTGCGGGTAACTAACAGGAGCCGTTACGCCCTACGGCTGGCAAAACACGTATAACACCCATTCTATAACACCCATTTCTAAAAGACACCGTTTCGGACGTAACAGTAAACTAGACAGCGCGGCTGTCACAAAAATATTAATTAGAAATTGTACAGATAAGCTACAAGCTAAAACTCACCGCTGGATCTAAGGTGTCTGATCTTCCTGTTTACAGTCCGTCACAGTGCAAACAGTACTGAGGAAGGACAGAGCGCCCTCTAGTGTCCGGAGAATTACAGCATGATTCTCCTCGGTCATCAGCAACAGCAGCCTTCCTGAGCTGAATCTGCTGCGTTGTTAACATTAGCACAGAAATTAAATTTGGCACGTAAGAAAAATAAAAATAATAATAATAAAATGTATATGTATATATAAATGTTTATATAGTGATAACAACTAAAATAACACAGTGATGAAAACGTGTTAAACATTTTTTTTTTTTTTAATTTTGAATAACCCTGTTTGCATGGATGCTGTTTTACACACTTCAATGTGTACACATGCCTAAACCTTGCTGATTGTTGAAAACTACTTTGAGGGGAGAGGGAGGTGGATAAACAACCATGTGTGTCCAAACTTTTTACTTTTAAATTATTTAATTACATATTAATGTCTATATTTAAAAGTGTAATGTCTGCATGCATGTACTGCAGTCCATACTCAAATGTTTAGATGTAAATAACAGTCCCATAACTCTTGTGTTTTGAGTATTTGAGTATTTCCCTGCCCTGGAGAACTCCCTGTCCTACAATACATTTCAGTTTTATTAAGCTGATCCAGCTGACTGTTTAATTACATGACTTTTTTTTACAGAGAAATATGTTTGCTTCTTTAGTTTTGCACTGGAGCTATAAGGCTAACATATCAGAGATACACAGAGGCACCTTTTCATCACTTTTTAGTTGAACACGCCTCCCAGCTGCAGTGCACAACCACAGACAGCATACATGCCTTGGTCGATTCGCTGTGTTTATGGTAAGAGGGGGGGGGCGTGTCAGTCTGACTGAGTTGACGTATGTTAGAATGGAGAAAATGCTAAGATTTGCAGGGTTTGGGGTCCCCAACGACGAGAAAAGGACCCTGTGCCCTATTTGTGAACGTCCTCAGTGTGGGCGGGTCTGATGACGTGTAATCAAGGGGCGGGGCCCTGGGGACCCACCGCGTGATAATGCGCGTTCACGCTCCGCGTTCTGTCTCCGCCTCCCCACAGCAAAATGGCGACCGTTGACTACGACGAGGCTGCGGGACCGGAGATGGAGCTCAGCGACGAAGAGCTGGAAAGGTAACACGAATTTAAAGGGGCAGAGAGCGCTGGTTCGTGGAGGACAGCTAAAAGCAGCCATTGCCGAGTATGTCGAGATTAAATTGTGTGTGTTTCAAAGACCGTTGTCCTCAATAACAGCTGACAGAGACCTCAAGAATTGCGGGGTGCCGCTGGCCTGGCGAGCCGAGCCGAGCAGCTGTTTCGCTTTTGGGGTCTTCAGCTAGCTCGCAGAGGGAGGTTGGATTTTCCTCCTGTCTTGTGTATAATCTCTCATACCGTCACAGAATGGGCTTTTGGATGGGCGACTGTGACTGTCCGCATTGTTTCCGGCAGCTTGGATGTAGAGCGCAGTTATTTTTGATTGCAGGCTGATAAGCACAGCCATGACAGCCGTATATAAGTGAACACTGGTTTTATTAACCGGCGCAGGCCGAACCTCAGGGGGTGATAACGGGAAGACAGCCTTGTTTTCCAGACCAGTCTCGTGTTTAAAACCACTGAAGATAAATGCCATTGTTGTGGCCGTGGTGTGGTTGGGGACCTAGATGGTCTGGCCTGGGGGTCAGGAATATTCACCTGTCAGTCCGGTCCGCATTTAGATGGACTGTTGGCCCTTCACATCTCCGTAAATAGCCGCGCCGTGTTCACTGGAAGAGGCAGGTCGGATCATTCCCTGCCCTGATAGCCTACATATCCTCGTGTCTGCTTCTGGAAGTTTCAGTTTTCATTCTAAGGTGATTGCCGGTAATTAACTTACTGCACGAAATTGAAAGAGTCATCGGTTAACCGAGTGTAACAGTGGACCACTTTGGCTACGGCTTGTTTTCCCATATGAGTCACATCATTGCTGACAGCAATACAGTCCTTCATGACCTTAATCAAGAGTGTTAGAGTCGAGAACACAAAACTGAGCAGTGCAGGTGGACTACGGGACTGCAGAGAGGCACTGTGCTTGGCTTTCTTTCTTTTTGAAAGAAAACTCCTCGCCTAAAAAAAGACACAAGTTGCTAATCATGAATGAAAGCTAGTGGAGGTCGGCTTGCACAGTGCAGATCTCATCACGCTGACTACCTTTCATTGTTGGCTGTGAATGTTTGGGTGAAGCATTCTGTTAAAAGCTATGTAGGTTTTGGGGATTTGGAGACCTCTCTGGTGAAAATGTGTAATTGCATGCCACATGTGGAAGAAAATGTTTGTGTTTCGGACCCCTTCCCTAAGAGGATGAATCTGATGTTTGCTAGCGCGTTGCATTTGAGACCTTAAACATTGAGCTGGATTTTCTTTTTTAGCCTGTGGTGTTAATGCATAAAGCTGAAAGATGTGGTCCAAAAAAATCCAGACCTGATGCCTCTGACTTTTAAATGACTATTTTGGGCTTTACAGGGTGACTTAACACATGCTAAACTATGCATATATATTTTTTTTCTCCTGACCTAATGCTACTTCCATAGTGCAGGGGACTACAAAAGTAGTATTCCTTTTCTTTGACTACCCTTACTGTTTATTGTAGCATTCATTAGAGGAAAAATTACTAGAGATGGTATGTTGCCATTGGGAGATATAACACTGTCCTGTAACAAATCTGTTGTTGAGTGGGTGTAGCATAATGGCCCACTTTCAGATGCTCATATTAAGTGATGAGCTTCAGTTAAAAATACCTCATTTTAAAACTTGGTCATTTTCAAAGGAACAATATTGGATCAATATTAGCCTATGCTTAAGGTTTGTATATTTATATCTGTATCGGGAAAGAAAAAGTGGTATTGAGCCATCTCTAATAATTACCTTAATGCTACTACCGTATAATTTGAGTGAAGTGTTCTTAAAGGCACTACCTGACCTGAGTGTAAACCTCTGGAACTTTCTGGCGAGCCTAAAGCATTTCCCTGAGGTCCCCACATGACTGTCAGGGTGCGTGAAAATGGGATCCATTTCAGCATTGTAACATTATCCATTAGGAAGTGACTAGAATGCATGACATAACTGTCCTTAGGCAGCAGCAGCAGCAGCTGTGTGAAGTGTAGTCTGTGTGGGGGATCACTAGTACTTAAAGGGAAATCTGGTTATAGATGAGAAATGTGATACCCCAGCGAGACATTAAATCCCGGCAGATATTGTGCTTCTGTGTAGTTTTTGCACACAGATTGCACAATGCTCTGACTGTTCTTATTTCTTTGTATGTCTCTCTGACGCTACTATATAAAAGTTGAAAAAAAAATCACACAGCTTTGTTTCATTTAACCCTGACGTTTATTTGTTGAGCATGGAGATTTGCAAGACATGTATTTAAGGCTGCACAGGCTTCACCATTTTGCCCTTTGACCTCCCCAAATCACAAATGGTGATAGACCGGTGGTCCTTGGGTCCATTCCCAGCTGATGGCATTCCTGCTACTGCTGTCATTGTGCCTTTTTGCACTTAACCTCTGAGTGCTTTAGAGGGCATGTCACACAGTGCAGCATATAAGCCACTGTGAGCCAAAATATCTGCTGAATTACATAATGACATGTTTTAGTAAGTATCTTTATCTTAATCCACAACACTGGTTACAACAATTTCAGTCTCACTAGTTGTGTGGCTAAAATTAATTTTGCAGTCTGTTCATATAACGTTTATATGATGAAACATTTGGCATCATTTGTCAATTTATTGTTTGGTTTCTGAATACTAATTTTTCACATACTTGAAACTTTGTTATTGTAATTACCAATAATAATTCATTTCTGCTACAGATATGAATCATTATAATACCAAATTAGAACACCATGTTTGACTGATATACTCATGCTTATTTGCAACCCACACAAATCTCATTTCATGACGTTGCAAAAGACACAGTTTGTTCAAGATGAACCGAAATGATCAAGGAGGACCAGCAATGATTCATTTTCCACCAGTTCCATCCCTGACAAAACTGCCTGCGCCATCAGCCTCGCCCAAATGAAAGAGATATTAGGCTGATCCCACAACAGCTATTCCTACCCTGCATCTTCAGAGCCATCTCCTAGCAAACTGTGGAAAAAATAGTTTGACACAGATTTTAGTATGATGTTGTTCTGTAGGTTATGTGTATGCTGGTTAAAATTTCAGCACCCCCAGCCTTGATCTTCCTGTGTCTGTGCTGTGCTCTCCACTTGCTGCTGCACATATGATTGTTGTAGAGCAGGGGTGCACAACTCCAGTTCTGGAGGGCCGGTATCCAGCACAGTTTGGTAAAAACACCCATTACACCTGGCAGTTCACAGATTAATTGAATCAGGTGTGTTTGAGCAGGGGAATCACCAAATTCTCTTGGACACCGGCCCTCCAGGACTGGAGTTGTGCACCCCTCTTAAAGAGAGATAATGCCTGCCACCACCCGCTGGCTGTTAGCTTTGGTACTGCTCTCTGGAGAAAAGGGCAGGGTTAAACAGGGGTTTGCTCTAGAGAGACAGGACTGTGGAGTGCACACGGCTGTTACTTTAAAAAGAATAACGGAAAAACTTCCAGAGATAAACCGTGTCACAAGCTCACACTGTCAGCAATGGATGAGTGGCAGGCTGTGTGGGCTATAATATGCAGTTGGACTCTGAAATTAGCGAACTAAATGTTGATCTAAACAAAGGGTATTTTCACTGCTATTTCTTTTTAATTGAACAGATCTCAGATATGGTAAAGTGGACTTAGAAGTGAAACAGCTGTGAATGACCTCTGTTTTTTTGCGTGCATAGTGTAAGCTTTAATGAACTTTAAAAGTGGTCTGAATTCACTGTCTGGTCTACTTCAGCATTAAGGAGATCTCAGACCACTTGTTGTTCGCACTACAACTCCTTTAGAGCTCAGACTCCACCTGAGGAGTGCCAAATTAGGAGTAGTAGTGTTCAAGTTCATTATGTAAAATATCTGTTTGGCTGACCCACGTTCCAGATTGTGGTAAAGTACTGAAGTACCCTTTAAACAGTAACTGTTGCTCATGAAATCATGTTTGGTCTAAATTGGAACATCGTAATTATTATGTTGTATATTATATGTTTGTCGCCGTTTTCTAAAAGCAGTAAGCCACTCAAGTCTGTGTTATAATGAATTCAATTCCAGAAGAAGGTTTGATTTTTGTGCCACATGCACGCCTAGTTTCACACTTTTATTATGGTAAAAACACACTTTAATATGCCAGGGTTGCTGTCTGAAGAGATTACAGATATTATCCTGAGGAGTTTGTTTTTACCCACTAAGCGCTGGAGGATGGTGGCTTTGTATGTATGCTAAGCCTAAGATTCTTTGACCATAAAGCAAAGCACGAAGCAGACTGGTGTCATTTTGTTTACGCAAGGTATTAATTATTTGCACCACAAAATAAACCACGAACAAACCATACTAAGACCACCTCTCTGGGTTGTTTTTGGGTCCTTTTAGAGGGGATAAGTTTGTTTGATGTGTTCACAGAAAACTATGCAGTGGTCCACTTAATGTTAAAACAGTGAGAAAAAGTGTGAAGCCCCCAAAGTGATGAGTTCTTCTCCCTAAAATGAACAGTTAGCCTTCTAAATGAGTTTTCAGCTCGGAGACCCAGGCTGTTGTGTTGTGAAATTTCCAGGCTTTGACAGAAAACAAATACTGAACAAGTGTAATTCAGTGGCAGACAGCGATTATTAGAGCTAGGCCATCAATTCAGTATATAAAAACGTGATCAAAACATGAGGAAAAACACACCTCTGTAATGCTAACTTTACCGCTAGTGCCCAATCCAGTGGGATTCTAGTAATTTGTTAGCAGTGAGCTATGGCTGTTCTAGATAAAACATGGGTATTTGAAGCTTCTGAAAGACATTCTGTGTTTTACTTGAAGCTTCTGACTGACATATAAACATATATTTTACCTTGTAGCCGGTTCACAGTGACTCTTTCAATAGAGCGGCATTGCGCAGAGTTCTGCAGCTGTTTTCTATTTCTAGCAACCCACTGTTTAGGCTGCTGCTCGTATGTTTAGCCAGTGATGTATGAGACTTCCAGTAGGATGTTTTTCTCACAAATTTATTTCCA